CACACACACACACACACACACACACACACACACACACATAGAGAGAGATTTGATGAGCCCACAGTCTGTATATGAGCCCAGAGGAGGCACCAAAATAAAATAAGAGGAAGTAGCTATACTGGATATTACGAGTTCCGAAGTATTAAATTAGGAAATGTTTTGTCATCAAGGTCTTTATTGAGCATTAGTCTGTAATCTATGACTGACTGGGGTTGAATGGACACACAACAAAGCTCTGGTTTTCTTCAAGAAGCCAAGAAACATCTAGGGGAGACTAATGTTTTAAATTGACTAACATATATCACCAATAAAATCTCTTTAACAACTTTTAATCTATAGTATTGTATATTATCTATTAATAAATGTTTCTGGAACAAATCATCACATCTCAAAGTACAGGTGATTACATTTGTCAGAATTTTGCATAGATGATGTATTTGATATCTCACTCTATGGAATTCAGTTCATTTCATAGGATTTTGAGCAAGATTATTTGGACAGCTCAGGAGGTAGCACGGGTCATCCACTAACCAGAGGGTCGATGGTTTGATCCTCAGCTCCTTCAGTTCAGATTGAACCCCAAATTAGCCCGATTGTGTGGGCATGTGAATGGGTGAATGTGGCTTGTACTGTAAAGCAGTAGTTGATAAGAAAACAGGCTATTGAAATACAATCCATTTAACATTTAGTGTTGCAATATTAGCCCGAAGACAGGATTTCAAGGACATTGATGAAGTCAAGGACAGAGAATAGCACTACATCCTACATACAGCTTAACCCCCAGTGAGCCGCAATCCTCCGCACTGACAGTAAGCTGAGGTTAACTCCATTAAAGTCAACTAAACCAATTTTTCTGAAGAATTATAAGCTTTTAACTCTCCGTGTCCTCGCACACAAATACTACATCTGCGCAGGCCGAACATATGGATGGACAGGAGAAGGAAATACAGGCATGCGGACATGCAGGAATAGCTGGAGGGAAAGAGAACAAACAAAAAGATGGCAGAGACTCTCAGAGAATCAGCCGAGTCTGCACCTGCTCAACACTGTTCCGTAACAAGGAGACATTTGGCATCGATTGTGTTGTTTTATAGGCATTCGTCGGTTAAACCCCTATTGGACAATTACAGTGAGAGGGGCTGCTTGAGGAAGGGGGCTGGGACTTTGATCTATTCCCCTCGCTTGGAGGAAAACCCGCAGAAATAAAGACGGAAAGGTGATGCACCTCTAATTGGCTGCAAGCAAATGAAACTGGAAGCAGCTGGAAGAATGGGGCAGTTGAACGGGGAAGCAGAAAGAAGGAAGATAGGAGAAAGTAAGGTGAG